GTAATCTGATCTGATTTTAATCTTATTGAGACGAGAAGCATTTTTTTAAATATGTGTATCGGGGAGGGGGGGTTACCGACGAGTAAAAAAGGGGAAACGAAACTTAGGCATGGAATGGAAACAAAAGTGGAGCTGGCAAATGGAGCAGCCTTTAAAAATGTCCTTACTAAAGAAACACTAAAAGACTATTCTCGTGTGACATACTTCCTAAAAAAAAGTGCATCAGGTTGAGTCCAGTTGAGTCACAATCTTGATCATGCTATCTGTACAAGTATATTTGAGTGGTTTGTGTTGTGGATAACGATTTAGATAGCTCAGCTGACACTGTAGTGCACTTGACAGGTGATACTGTAGACATACTTTTTTCCACGGGGTCATAATTCCGTCTCTAATTCTGTTCAATCCGCTGGTAGAAAATTACGCGGACATCATAAGACTCTCTTTATATGGCTTATAGAATAGAATAGAATAGAATAGAATAGCATTATTTCCAATCATGATCCCACTGGGGGCATAACACAGATACAAGTATATTATCACATAAAATAGAGACAATGTACATAATAAAACATTAAACCAATTTACTTATGGTGGTATGCAAATATTATAAATACAACATAGTAATATTTAAAAAATCATATACAATATTTTGATAAAAAGCCATATTAACTTTTCATTAATGAACATAATAAAAAGATTGAAAAATCTATGTGTTATGCATTTAATAATTAAACATGGTGGTAAGGTGAGAGAGAGAGATAAAGAGAGAGTAGATATATTGGGGAGAGAGAGAGAGAGGTCAGTGGGTAGAGAGAGAGTGGGAGAGAGTGAGTGGGGAGAGAGAGAAAGGTCAGTGGGTAGAGAGTGAGTGGGGAGAGAGAGAGAGAGAGAGAGGGGGGTCAGTGGGTAGAGAGTGAGTGGGGAGAGAGAGAGGTCAGTGGGTAGAGAGTGAGTGGGGAGAGAGAGATCAGTGGGTAGAGAATGCGGAGAGAGAGAGAGAGAGTTGCATTAGAGAGTGAGTGGGGAGAGAGAGAGAGAGAGGGGTCAGTGGGTAGAGAGTGAGTGGGGAGAGAGAGGTCAGTGGGTAGAGAATGGAGAGAGAGAGATAGTGGGTAGAGAGTATGGAGAGAGAGAGAGACATGGGTAGAGTGAGTGGAGAGAGAGAGAGAGAGAGAGAGAGAGGTCAGCGGGTAGAGAGTGAGCTGGGAGAGAGAGAAAGGTCAGTGGGTAGAGAGTGAGTGGGAGAGAGTGAGTGGGGGAGAGAGAGAGGGAGTGGGGAAGGAGTGAATGAGGAGAAGGGAGAGTGAGTTGGGGAGAGTGAGTGCGGGAGAGGGAGATAGAAAGAGAGTGGGGAGAGAGTAGATGTCCCATGTGCATTCCAATAGTCCCCCGTCCATTGAAGTTAAACACAAAGACAGCCGCACAAAATTTACATGCATATTTAGGCCTCTTAGCGTGACACAAAGACAGATGCACTAGATTTACATGTACATTAGGCCTCCTTGCAAGACGGAACAAGATGTGTTTGTGAAACTACGCGCCCGGCGGCAACAAAGTTCGAAAAGCTGTGTTTAGCATATAGGTCACAGTCAATGTCACAAGGTCATTGACCTTGGTGTCATTAAAAGAACTTGATTAGTGGAGTATGCATACCAAATATCAAGTCTATATCTCCTATGCTTTAAAAGTTACGTTGAAGATACGAAAAGGCTATTTTTAGCATACAAGTCACAGGTGTTATTTGAAAGAGCTTTATTACTGGGTACGCATAACAAATATGAAGTCTCTATCTTTCATGGTTCAAAAGTTATGACGAAGGTTAATGTTTGCAGATAAAAAACTTATTTTACCATATTGGTGTCATTTGAAAGAGGTGTTAATTATTGGAATATGCGTACCAAATATGAAGTCTCTATCTTTCATGGTTTAGAAGTTATGGCGAAGGTTAAAGTTTGCAAACAAAAGCTATTTTTAGCATATAGGTTACAGTCAAGGTCACAAGGTCATTGACCTTGTTGTCATTTGAAAGAGCTTAATTAGTGGATTATGCACACCAAATATGAAGTCTCTATCTTGCATGGTTCAAAAGTTATGGGGAAGGTTAAAGTTTGCAGACAAACAGATAAACAGACAGGACATGGATCTATCGATATGGGTGCATAAAAATACAGACACGCGAAAACAGTATAGGACATGCATACCTTTAAAATATAGAATGTTTTCTTTCTTTTTATTTACTATTTCATATAAAATGTAACAAGTAAATAAGAAATAATTATCGTAGCAAAAATGTTCAAGCTGGACGAAAGTTACAGCAATCAAAATACATGTGCAGGGAAAAGAGAGAGAGAAACTTCATCCAATAGAGAGAGGGAGAGAGAAATGAATTCAAGGAGAGAGAGTAATTTTGATTTATAAACACAGAGAGGCGGTGTAAAGACGAATAATGACCCCCATCGGATAATGACCGGGGGGGAGACAAAAAATGGGTAGAAAAAAAAATCATTTTTTGTAGAAAAAGTGAGAGGTCATTATTTTATATGTTAGTCCTATAAAAAATTGAGCCCCATTGAAAAATGACCCCCTTTAGAGTGAAAAGAGATTCTTTAATTGTCAAATTGTCAAGTAAATAAAATTTCTTTTTAATATTCCTCCTTATAGTGTTTGCTTAAAGAATGATATTCCACTTGTTTTTAGAAATCAAACCATGCAACAATCAGGTTCCAATACTCTTTAATAGAAGAATTAATTTTTCTTTCATTTCAACTTTTAGCTTGTATAAGTTTGGCAAATCCTATTTGACAATGAAATAGGAGGAAATTTTTAAACCCCCCCCCAAAAAAAATTACTTTAAATCAAAACAAACAAAAAATAAATGAAAAGCAAAAATATATATAAAACTCTATATACCTTTCAATAATAGAGAGGCTTGATAAAATATTGAAATGAAGTTAAGCCTTCACACAAGTTGTATCATATCATAATTTACTTCGCCATGATTAAAGCATTCTTTAAATGTTGGTGGGGGTATACTTGAAAGTATTGTGGCAAAGTAACAGTTGAAAATAAGTAGAATAGTTGATTATTTTAAGCTTATTTTTAGTCTCTCCTTATAGAAAAATAAAGGTAGGGTAGTTTTTTTGTTGTTGCTTTTGTTGATAATCAACTTCCTCCTAAATAAGTAAGGGGGTGGGGTGGGTATAACACCTAAAAATATGCTCTGTAAAGCTATGGGCTAGTGTAAAATACACATTCTAATGCAAAAACTGTATATGTAGACATAACTTTTTGATTTAGCACACAGTATTCATTACATTTCTTAATTCTTGTTTTACACCACGATTTTACCCAGTTCTGAGTATATTTTTCAGAGAATTTAATATGAAAATCAGAACAAACATTTTCATTTTTATAACGTCTTCTTTATACTGTATCATAATATGAAAAGTTAATTGAAGACCATTTCTTTTTATGTCCCTGTAATCGAAGACCGGGGGTATATAGTTTTATCGTGTCGTCTGTATCTATCCGCCGGTCTGTTTCTCCGCAAAAACTTTAACCTTTACCATAACTTGTCATTTATTGTAGCTTTGTCTTTCATATTCAATATGTGTACATTCCTTGTGACAAGACCTTACTTTGGGTACCAACAAGTTTGACCTTTTGACCTTTACCTTGGAGTTTGTCCCATTTTACACAAAAATGCCAAATTTTTATTTCATTTACTTTGGCTATAACTTTTGAACGGTAGATACTAGTACTCTCATACTTCACAAATGTAATCCTTGTTACATTAAACCTTTCTTAAGAAACCATCAACTTTGACCCTTTGACCTTTGAGTTTGACCTACCTTTCAAACACTTATCCTTAGCCATTAATTTTGAACAAGTGGTGCTAGGGCTTTCCTATTTTGCAATTGTATTTCTTGTGAGAAGGCCCTACTTTGGGTACCATTATATTTAAATTGCCTTTAAGAAAAGTTTAATCTTCGCTATGTTGCCATACAGGGGCATAGCTGTTTTACAAATACATCTTTTTATATATAAGAGGAGTTGCGGATAACAGATGGATACCCCAAAGCGTAACAGCAAGACGGACATCCCAATCAATATACACCCTCCCGCTTTTCAAGCGGAGGATAAAATAATATATGATACTGCTGATTTTTTCTGTCAGTACGATGATTCCCACTATCGAAAAACAATGTTTACCTAACCCTTTAGGCTCGATAAATCTTTACTCCTTTAGATTCTGAACCATCGCATTGACCTTAAAATATAGTTATAATCGTATGTTATGAGATCAACATATCATCAATTTACTCCAAATAAGCTCAGGTGAGCATTTTGGCAAATATGCTTCTTTATCTAATTTTTTTTTGCCCCCTAAAAATTTCAGCTTTAATCAACAGGGAGTCATTTTTCTACGGGGGTCATTTTTCTTCACGTGGGTTCTGCAAATTTTTAGGGTGGTGACAATTCAAGGCAAAAGGGTATTTTTCAAAGGACAACATCTTTTTTACTTCGAAAAATAGTAATTTTGATTTATAAACACAGAGAGGGGCTCTTTTTTGTGACATAACTCCACTTCAGAAAGATTACATTGAAGTCTTTTATAGTGCAATTTACAAAGAAAACTTATCACTGGTGTTTAATCATATCATTTATTTGTTTATTATACAGAAGACCTTTTAACTACATTTAAAACTTATTGACGGAGAAGTATTTAAAAAGCCTTTCACTCAAACAATACAAAAAACAGTGATTCGAAACAATGATCTCAACGATTCTATCACACTAATGCACAACTGAATTAGGTTTTGACAACATGAAGGTCCATTCCTTCTAGTTAAAATATGAAAAATGAATGTAGCTGTAGTTATTACAGTACAGATTGGAATATCTAGTCATTTATATAGTCAAGTTGGTAAGTTATAATGGATGAGCAATCACTACTTTGTTCTTGTAAAAACAAATTAATTTGTTTACATTTTTTCCAGTCGGTCTCTGCAGTTTTCCACAGGAATGGGATGGCCTTTGGTATGACAGCCGTAAAAAGGAAGTGACATTAAATCGGACAACGTCAGCTGTTCAGTCTGGCTGGACTCTGACTGCGTACACCTCCACCGTGACGTCATGGACATGCGTGGAACAGTCCATTGATAAATATTTGATGAAGTGAGTTATTTTCAATTCCATATTAACAAGCCATTTTTAATAAGTGAAACAACATTATGTTTTTAATCTATATTCAGAAGCGACCAGGAGGTGGACGTGTTTGGAGCACCAAATGCCGCGTACCTGTGTCTGACAGTCACGAAAGTTACAGATGTGTCGTACAGGTATACGATAATAGCAGGTGAGTAGATTATTTTTCTAATTACACGTGAACAGGTGAACATATGAATGTAAAATGCGTCCCAAGCCTTTTATCATTTGATTTATACACATAATTTTGTAAAAATTATGTTCTGTTACTTAGAGATAAAACGAAATACTTCCAGTTTATTATGAGATGTTAAAACATTTCAAAATGATTATCGACATCGAACTTGTATTCGGATCACATCAATAGGGTTTTCTTTTTTCCAAAGATGGAAGTGTTTCTTATCACATGCTCCCTTCAAACATGTAACATACAAGACTCTTCTTTTTAGATGAACAAACAAATGCTGGAAATGAAAGAGTCTCTGTGATTGCCACTACAAGAAATGCCTCCATATCGAGTGATTGCACAGCAGTTAGTCCGCCCGGCCCTGAGGAGTTTCACGTTCTTGTCAAAGCAGGTAACAGACATGATTGGGAAAGTATAATGATAGAGATAAATTCATATATTAAATTTGTGCTTTCTTATTGGCCGACCAGTTTCTGGAGCAAAGTCTATGCAAAAACTACATGGGAGAATTAAAAAAAACCAGTTCTTCTGGTTGCCTTCAAACCGATATATCACAATTTTTATCAATTACCAATAGCTCCTTTCATACACATGTCGACGAAATGAATCACAATGCACTCCAAATTATTTCAAGAAACCAAAGAGTCATTACATTTACATATTACTTATTACAATTGTTTCAAAGTTTAATATTTTACTGAATACAAACTATGGACGACGATAGTTACTAGTATATGGCAAAAATGAATGACTTCAGTTTCTTTCATCGACAACTCCCATTATTTATGCAGTAATATTCCACACCTTCATATCGCGTTTATTTTTACCCACTGATTTTGAGTCATATTCTGAGTACAATCATTTTAAATCTACAGGCAAATAAGTTGATGTTCCAGGTATTTCAGTAACAACGTTTGTCAACATTTACAAATTCTGTGGCTTTGACATTGTCATTACCATTAATCAGTCGATGGGTCCTGCATACCACTTGTTAGATTAATAATTCTATTCCTAATTTGACTGCGGATTACTTTATACATAATACTATAAGTCGCAAGAATGTGTGACTGGTCGGTAGACTAAGTTTACTCCTTCTACTTACTTGATTCCATAATGTCCAAGATGCATGCCCGATTTTTTGTCCATTTTCTTTACCTGGGATATTGAGATTCAAAACTATACCTATTTTCACTTACTTAACTTGAAACATATATTTTTGGCAATCATGTCATTTTCAAAAAGTAGAAATAAATGTGACGACATCAAAATCAGCCGTTTTCTTGAGATGATTATTCGTACGTGTAAGAACTTTCAATTATTTTGTAGATAATGTTTCCGACGCGAAACAGTACTTTCCAGAACCCTTGTTGGCGACTCTTTATAATTCTAACTACGCGAGAACTAATTCGACATGCGACTCTGACGTCGTATTAGACATGTGTTCTGATAGGTATATCATGAACCGCACAGAATGTTCAACAAGTAGCGGGCAAGTTTGTAAGTATGCATAGCTACAAGCAGAGTTAACATACTAGTAATTCAACAGTCTTTATTCAGTTCTTTTAGTAATAAAATCTTATAATAACCACCAATGCATTGTTTTTATCAATCAAAAAAATTGTTTAGAAATGTTATCTTTTATGTAAGTTCTTATCCACTTTCATCGATAACGCAATAAATTGAAATTGATCTTTTTATATAGTAGGTGCATTATACTTTTGTATTACATACGTACAAGATGGCGAGATGTTTTTTGTGTCGATGCTCGACCCTGATGTCACCGGAAGTAACCAACAACACTTGAAATGTTATGTAAGTACATCTTAAAATAATATTTTTATGCATTTATCGATCTTAGCTCACCTATGATGGAAGCTCAAATGAGTTTTTCTGATCACATTTTGACCCTCGTCCATCTGTAAACTTTTCATATTTTCGACTTCTTTTCAAGAATAACAATTTCAACCACCATATTTGCCAAAACCAGGTGAAGGAGATTCAAGTTTGTTTAAATAAAGATCCAAAACCTCTCTCAATGTGTGGATAATTATTAAGAAATGATGAAAACTGAAATTTTCTCAAAAACAACTGGTCCAGCAAAGTTGATACTGATGGAAAAGCAGTATTTCATAATGTAGATTAAAGTTCGTTCAAATAACCCCATCCCCGGGAGTTGGTTGGGATCAAAACAAGCATCGGAATCTTTACATACGGATATAAAGGAAATCTTTAGAAACCCTTTTTTCAAGAACAATTGACATACAAGAGTTAAATCTAAAGTGAAAACATTATACTTTATGTAGATTAAAATTTGTATGCACAATGAACGATCAAAATATATTTTAGCAATACAAATAGCATGATTAGTCATTTCTACTCTACCATTTACGAAAGCGTTTACTAACAGTCTAATATGGTCATCAAACTGGTGAGCTAGTTTTATTTGCAAGCTTATGCGATTGTAGCCAAACAACCAGTCTGGCAAATCTAAGTTCGTTACATGTATATAGTTATCTTCATGGTTTGGATAAACTTTTCTGTACTCCCTTTTTTGTTTGATTTAATAGTTGATCCCACTTTCCACAAATAATGGAAAAGTTGTCAGTGATAGTCACTTGGTTGATGTTTAGTAGTATAACCAGTCTCTCAAAGTGCTTCTTTATCTTGTAGTTAATTCTGATTCATTATTTGTTTGAACATATGTATATACAAATTAAAAAATCTATATAAATATTTTATTAAATTGATTTAAAGCTAAAATTTAAAAATTATTAATTTACCGGTAATTTAGGCGGTAATGAAATTGAATGACCAGATATACATCAGCGATAATAATGGGAGTTGTGCCAAAGGTCAAGATCCAAATGTAAGACAAGTAAACGGGACTGAGACTCTTGTTATGTACGCAAATGGTACGTTTGTTAACCATACTTTTTGTGATACATGTACTTCATTTGTTTTAAATTATGGATTGTGAAAAAAAATAATAGAAAAATCATGTACTATCTGATTTCCCTTTCTTGTTTCTTTGTAGTGCTATGTCGTAAGTATAAAACTATTACTTCTTTATCTGATATTCTGGATGGGACATCTTTGGTAATCTCTCAACATTTCTCAACAAGAAAGATTATATTTCTTATCTTTAATGATTTAATTTTACAGCATTCACAACAAGCCCGAATGAAGAGGATGTTGACATCGGTTTAATTATTGGATGCGTAATAGCAAGCATTATTTTCATTGGAATAGTCATTGCAATCATAATTATTTGTCTGCGAAAGAAATACAGAGAGAAAATACGAAAAACATTTTGTTCCAAATGCAAGCACAAGGTCCAGCAAAAAGGTAATAAAAAATATATATAATTGTCAAAGAAGTAACACTTCAACCTGCTAGATTTAAAATATATATAAATTAGAATTAACCTGCAAACAAGTCAGAGATGTATGCAAGTGTAAATATCTTCTTTGAAATAAGACAAAGTATTCTTCATTTTAGATGACGAAAGACAAGAACTCTCTGAAAAGGAGAAAACACAGTCAAATGGAACAGATGATACTGATGAAACCAACAATAATGAAGATCAAACCAAATCAATTTTATTTGATGAAGTGAAAAATTCCACACAAAAAGTCAGCGGCGAAGTTCTGACAACTGCAGAAGGGGAGGGTGCTTCTGATGAAAACAGCAGAAATCTCATTATGACTCCAGTTGAACTTTTGGACAACACATTTGAAGATATAGAAGTTGGGAAAGCGCCAGTGGATGTACAAAAATATTCAAAATCGGGTATAGTTGTTGACCATGCTAATTTACTGAGTGAAATAGAGGATGAGGACTCTGCTTTTAGGGTCAAGGAAAGTGAAAAAGAGAAGAAGTCCGTCATAAGTCGTCAAAACACCGAAGAGGATATGGAACAATTGCGGAGAATAAACAGAGAAGTTAATTCAGAGAAGCACTTATTCATTAAAGAAAACATGCCTCTTGATAATGAAATGTCAACCAGCGAACAAATATACTTCCAAAAGAGCGTTTTTGCAAAACAAAATGTTGAAGCAGAAATGTACTTAAATGAACCCATAGACGAATCTGATGACCATGCTATATTATCAAGCAGCTTACCTGTGATATTGGAGGCTCACGAAGGGATTTCTTATTTAAACTCACTAGGTGTTACATCTAGCCCTATTCATACGACAAGTTTTGTACCAGATAATCCACAGACAAAGAAAGATAATGATGGAATGGAAGACACGGGGGAAATCAAAGGAATGGTTATTGAAGATTTGGATTTTTCTTTGACAGAAGAGCAAATTATGGCAAGATCGAGCCTTTCATCAGCTTTGACCTCAAGACTTAGTTCAAGGATGACACCGACATCCGAAATACTGGCAAAAGAGTTGAGAAAAGTACTATCTCCCTCTAAACGAATTTCAAAGAAGAAAAACAAACCAAGAGCATCGTCCAAATTGTCTTTTCACTCAGCTCCGGAAATGAGAAGTAGGATAAAGGAATGTTCAGAGAGATATCAAATAAAGCCTGTTCTTAGACGTGCTTCTACTAAAATGTCCATACTTAAAATTGCAACTATAAAACGCAAATTAAAAGATATGGGAAATGAACCAAGAGCTCCCAAAATGAAATTTCGATGGATTTGATGAATCAGTATACATGTCTAACAAAGCCTGTTTAATTTGAACTGATAAAAAACAAAGAAATGCGAAATAAAACCCTCAGACTCTTTGAAAAAAATATTAGAATCAGAAATTACAAAATATGATTTAGTCAGTTGATAATAATTATGACAAACCATTGTATGTTCAAAAACATAAAGAAACAAAAACTTAAATCAAAAACCTGTTTGAAATAGTTACTACTTGATTCATTTAGACATATCATTATTTCCCGATCATGACAAGGAGCACATGGCGGGTGTGACCGGTCGGCAGGGGATGCTCACTCTTTCCTGGCACCTGATCCCACCTCTGACATTTTGGAGTTCTGTGTTTGCTCTTCCCGTATTTGTATGGTTATATGGACGTTTGATCTTGAATACTGTTCGTTATCTCCATATGTTTCATCATATCGTAGTACAAAGTGTTTGGAAGAAGATTTTTATAGGCTTGACTGGAACTCTTCAGCGCCAGAAATTTAAATGAATCAAATCCTTGAATTTGTTTGTTTATAGTACAGTGTAATAGAAGAGTGATGTAAGATGAATTCCAAAGCGGTAGACATTTCAACAGTAGTCTTTCTGTATGGATTTTGGCTGAGATCAAATCTGATCAGTAATTATTTTGTAATATAATGTCTTGCATCTACACATATTTAACTACAGTGTTAATGTTAATAAAGTTGCAACCTCGCTGTGTTTAATTCGAGTTTCTGATTTCACCCTGCCTGGGAACACTGTTTTTTTTCTGTTTTTAGAAGCTCATTTTGACTTTGGCTTCTTATAAGGACATGTACAAGGATATTCAATTTGAAAAAAAGACTGTTTATGTTAAGTTGTAATTACATGGAATGTCATGAAGATTTCAATATCAATCACATTTCTTTCCACAGTTCTTTTGTTTTTTTCAAATCCGACGCTCTTACGAGTAGCTCTTTTAATTGCAAGGCCAAGTGTTTTGTTCTTTTTCGCCTTTAACTTGACGGTTTAATGATCGATCCTTTCCTTCATAGGTCAAAACTGGTTGTTAAATATTTAATACAGGTTATTATAGGAAAAAGTCTCGAAATTGAATGTGATCCTTCATTGGTTTCTAGGAACTCCTTGTCATTGATTTTTAACATTCTGAGTATGTTCCTGCAACCGGATCTTTATTTACTCTTAAGAGCATATAAATAGAAATGCAAAAATCAGGATGGTTAAAGCACTTGTCATTAGGCGTAATTTTTTAAAGTAGTCCTTTGATCTACACCCCTTAAAAATTGATCAGACACTCATTTACTTTGAAGTTCATTTTCAAATCTCCATTAAATTTTGTTCTAATGATTGATGTCTTGTTTGGAAAAATTCTTACGTAACTGAATAAAGTAAACACAATACAAGTAGAGCTTTTTTAAAAAGCTTCTCGTCTTTAGCAACAATCTTAAACTGTAAACTGATCTACACCTATCAGGCCGTATAATTCTTTTGAATTTCTTGATTTTGTATTTCTACATTAGCTTTTTACTGGCATTAGCCCTACCACGGTTGTCGCTCGGTCATCTCCGTAAATGATTCCATTTCCTTCTTCAAACAAGAAAGGGGAAAAGAATAATAACAAATTGTAAAGCCTGCAAGCAATAAAAATCAAATTTTATTTATAATGAAGTTAAAGAGATCTTTTTTATTTTTTGCTATACAAAAAATCATGTTATTAGGAATTAATTACTGCTGACTTTGTTGTTGGTTTTGTCATTTTTTTTAAGATTGAAAATCTTGCAAAATTGTTAAGTCGTACGAAAATTAGATCATCAGAAAGTTATCTCCCTTGCCTTGAACAGCATTTCAACCAATGAAATAATTGAAAATTTTCTCATCATTTTTCTACCAATCACAAAAGAGAGGAAGTGCATAGTCCGAAGACTGTAAAAAACTTCAACTATACAATACCGTCTTCCAAGGAAGACGGTAATAACATTCGATCATGCCACATTTGCCAACATTTATTAAGGCACTTAAGCTCACTTGGATCAGGAGGTTAATATATGCAGATTCTACCTGGTCTAGAAAAAAGTAGAATATTTATGGAATCTACAGGCTGTAATATTACAAAACTTTTACAGTTTGGATCAGAATATGCCTTATATTTTAGTAAAACAACAAATAACATGTTTTGGAAAGAAGTTCTTTCTGACTATAAAGAATTTATTAATTTATTTGAACCTGAAAATATTCTTCAGGTCTTGAGAGAACCTTTATGGTTAAACAGTAGTATCAGAGTACAAAGTAAATCTGTTTTTTACAAACAGTTATATGCAAAAGGCTTTCATATTGTGTCTGATCTATTGGATACCGAAGGTAATTTGTTATCCTTTAATTGTATATCCATTAATTATGATGTTTTAATCCCATTTACTAATTATGAAGGGCTTAGACTTTCCATTTTGATAAAATGGCCTGAAGTTAAACAATGTAACATCAGCTATTGGAATAAACATTTACACATATTCAGGTCCTTTTATGATGATTCCGGCTGTAAATCATTATACAATTTCTTTCTATCTAAGAGTTATAACCAACCTGTATGTGTTACAAAATGGACAAGAGATTTAGGTTTGCAGAATGACTTTAACTGGAGAGATCTTTTTACAAACTTGAAATACATAAGTAAAGATTCAAATCTCAAATAGTTCAATTATAAGATGATACATAGAATTCTTAGAACTTGTAAATTGTTCTTTTTATCTAAAAATTAAAGATAATCCACTGTACTCTGTCTGTAATCTTGAGCAGGAAAAAGCATCTTTTTTTATTTCTGTCTTCCTGTTAAGGGAATATGGGATTGTTTAGAAGAATTTTTTGGAAAAAATATAGACCCAATTTCTGTTATACTAGGTATTTCTGGCAAAGAAAACACATCTTTAAATGTCATTATATTGCTTGTAAAATAGTATGTATACCAAAAATCTACAAATTGTAAACCTTTGATATTCAACGAAGTTAAAAATGTAATATGTAAATACTATACTTTTGAAAAATACTTGTTTGCATTAAATATGGAAGACACCCAGTTCAAAAAGAGATGGCAATTGTTAGACAATCTACATGTATTTGAAAAATGATCAGCTGTATATAACATTCATAAAAGGACATTGTAATTATTACTTTTGTCTATTTTTTTTTCTTTTTTTCAGTGAATTTACTTATAGTGATAGTAAACACAGTGTAATATATAAACATGCATACATATATGTATATGTATATTGAATTATCTTTCTTGTATAATTCATAGATAGGTGATACTGAAATGGATGAGTGAGGTGGAAGAATCAGTGAGTGAATGTTTAATAAAAATCCACAATGATTATATAAATATACTGTTATTTGAAAGTTGAAATGTGGAAATAAAAAAAAAACAAAAAAAAAACATTCGATCATGTTGATATTTCTATTTTAAAAAACCTCTTTTCATCCATTTGTAACCTGACCATTGTATGAAACTGTGATCATAATGTATAGCAAGGTAATATATGAACTAAACGAATCATTAATTACAAATTTATTAATGATTAGACTAGATTTGTGACAGGTTTATTTTTCTGTTAACCTTAATTTCAAACATGTGGGTCAGCGTTGCATGTCAAAAATTTCAACATTTGAAGCTTACCCATGTTCAAAATAAAAGTAAAATATCCCTCGGCTATAAATTTCACTTAAAATCCTAGGAATTGACTTAAAGCAACAATAATAGCATTAGATTCAAATGGAAAATAGTCTGAAGTATAAAGCGTTGCTTACTTTTTCAAAATTATATATTATGTCTAACCATGATTGGAGTAAAATAAGAGACAGTGAATAGAAAGTTCAATATTTTTTTTTTCTCAACATAAAATAAAAAAATTGAGGTATATATGAAAATAATATTTACTGTCAATCCCATTTAATTCATATTAGACAACATAATAAAGCGTTGCTGTTTAAATCAGAATATCACATTTTTTTTTCTGTGCTTGTAAAATAAAAATGCATCCACCTGCAACAGTTATCTTTTTAATTACTGGAGTATTCTTTCTTCAAAATATTTAAAAGAGAAAAAAGAAGATTTTGAAAATTATGATTCTGATAGATGATAGATTTCTGTAACAATTAAAGAATTATAAATTTAGAAATATCTCTGTCAACTTTAACAGTTGAAAGGATCTGAGTACAAATGTTTTAGCTAAACTATGATAAACCATTTTAAAAAATATTGGCAAAAAAAAAAGATAGAAATCAATGTTTTTAACACAGTTCAAATTTGATTAAATTGAATACCATATATACTCGATTTATTTTTTGACGTTATTTTGGTTGGATATTGACCCGCTTATAAGTCGGTACATTTTTTTGACAATTTCAAGTAATTCCGTTGATGTTTTAACCTGATTTCAATTAATACTTTTTTTTCGAAATGACACTGATATTTTATCTTAAATAATTAAACAAATAGTTAAAGCTCCCTTAAGATACAAATAAAATTATTAAAATATGTAAATACTTGTGTATTATGTAAGAATGCAAAAATTATCATACATATCCAGACCTTAATTTCGGTAATCGTCGGAAATGCGTATAAAATACTACATTTCAGCATCCAGAAAAATACTTATTTTTTGTGACTCGCCTATAAATCGTAGTAGAGTTAAAGACCAAAATTTAACTCCCTAAAAACCGACTTATAGGCGAGTATATACGGTATATAATGATCATCGAAAATAAATTCTAGTAGAACGATTTGATGATTCTAAAAAAAATACATGGAATCTTATCTTTCTTATCAGAGAGACATTACACATTAATGACTTACAATGAAGTGTTCTATTTTTAAAAAATCTAAAATTATAGTTATTTCATCCTTCTCTTAAAAAAATAATCATATACATGTTACACCGTGTAACTTTGCACCATTAGTAATATGTTGTAACATTTTTGTTAAAAGTACTAGAAGACGGTGTCATACTTGCATGTAATTTAGTTTTTGGGCATGCCTTAATTCTTATTTCTGAACACAATTTCATACTTATTATGAAGTTTTCTTATAAAAATGTTTTATATGAAATATATGGAGATAACGAATAGCATTTAAGCTAAAAAATCCATAAAACAATACAAAATATGAGCGGAGCAAACAAGAACCTCCAAAACATCAGATCTATAGGTTGGTTCAGGTGCCGTGGAGGAGTGTGCATCCCATGTCGAGCGGTCAAACCCGGTGTGCGCTCCTTGTCATGATCGGGAAGAAACGGAAAAATCCGTCGTCAATTTACTGTGTAGATAATGGCCTAACAATTAGCATGAAAAAGGTCAGTCAGCATTTGACTCCATGATAAATTATATTTGCTGACAAGGTTATTGTATCGACCATAGAACTTACCAAATATGACTTTAAACGAGACTGCTGATATTCTTGTTTAATCAACTGGTAAATTCTTGTATATATGATTTTTTTTAAAATTCCTCTTTGATCGGGCATTTATTTTAAAAAGGAAAAAAATGTATCTTCTGAAGCTTGAATTATTTTTCTGATTAGCCTTTATTATAAAATAATGATTCATATAAAAAAAATGAAGATAAATTCACGTCTTAACAGTAATAAAGAACATGTACAATATTATTATTGCATTTTATGAGATGTGATCATTTCGCAATTTTTTTTATTATAAAAAAAAATAGCAACGTATACAGGTTTGAATTCATATCAGTCAAAAGTTGTGAATGTATAAACTGGACAAAACATTTTTACAAACAACGTTGTTTCCTCGTCAATATCTATGTAAAAACTGGTATGACAAAAACACAGGAAACAATAAAAAAAATAATTTATTATATAAACGGTAGCAGTTCAGGTCAAATCAACCTTCATCATCAGGAAGCAAACATAAAAAATAAACAATTAAATTAATCACATATAAAAATTCAACAATAAACAATGGCGTCCCTGCACTGCAGACGATAACAATCTCTAATTTAGACCAAAGGACAGAAAAATTCATTGTTCCCAGTTTACTATATATTCACTAAAATATTTCCCCAGCTATTCATTATAATTTTTCCACTTCATGAAAATATACAAGGTTATTTTATTCAATTTTGGACGGAAGCAGAATTTTCCAAAGAGTAACTTCCCTTTTCCTTCGAAAATTTTATCTTGGAGTTGGAGCTGATGGATTGTTAAAAGATCTGAAAATAAAATTTAAAAAAATCTCATCAAAATAAAACTGTTAACATGATCAGCATAATATTTTTTGAAATTGTTTTCAAAATATAAGCCCTACGTCTCATGATTGATCAGCCATTAATGAAATTGCAGACTCAGATATTGAAATCTCTTGTTTCAAGACTAAAGTATAACTCTAATTTAAATAAGATAAATCAAAAGAATTAATTAATTAAAAGAAATTGAGATCAACCTACAGTTTCAAGTCAAGACAAAAGAAATGGACTTGTAAGAGAAGAGTGAGAAATTGATAAAGTTTGTCAAAAATGACTGTTTCTAATTTAAGTAAAATAATATCAAATAAAAATCTACTTATGAGAGAGAGAATCATTTTACTTAGACAAATTTCAAAAAACCCACTTCAATAGAGAGAATCTAATACGTGAATCATTTGTCTATACTTGTATATACATGTATATGAGAATTAATCTACATTCAGGTCTTTCTATCTCCGCACTCCTTACCTATTCCGTTCCCTGTAAGTATTTTAAAATTATGAGGAACACACCCCTTTGTTTGTATTTCAATACAATATTAATCTAGAATCTGAGAAGTATTTGTATTACGTTCCTGTATTACGTGACTTTGGAATGAAAAAGTCGTAACTGCTATGGAAATCATTGTACAACAAAAATTAAAATCAATTTTAAGTAGAATCGGATCAATTAAAAAAATTAAACCTGCTTTAAGCTTGTGTTTTGTTTCGTTGTTTTATCTATTATAAGCGGCATTTTAAAAGATCACCTTGTCAAAAATGCACTATTTGTATAACCCATCGTTCAAACAAATTGAATTTTAAAAATTCAATATTCTGTCTCATGTATTCCCTCGTTTATTTAGGTTAAGTTCTAGCTAGCTATCAAGAAATTTATATATAGATCCCGAACTGACATATTTGAAAAAAATCTTTTACCAACTATCAGCTTTGGATTTAATTTTAATTTTGTTTTTTACTTCCTATATTGTGTAAGGTTTTCCTTGAAAAAAATGTATATAACGTAAATTCAGATTGCAACGCATTCAATATTTTTCTAAGTTTTGTTTATTCAGAACAAACTTCAATTTTCTCTGTTTTTTTTTATGCAAATCAGTATTTTAAAAATATTTTAACATATAATCAATAGTTTTGAAAACAAATACAGCTTGCATTTTAAAAAAAAAAAAAGAAAAGAAAAACTCGTACGCATTGTAAAAAAAAAAAGTACCTAACATTGGACATTTGTGAAATGAAGTATGAGAAGAAGAACTGTAATCAAACTAAAAGTCTATAGAAACTAAACCAATTTTGATCAGAGTGAGAACTTTTAAAAATATCAGAGGTGGGATCAAGCGTCATGAAGGAGTAAGCATCCACTCATCGTTATGTGTTCCTGGTAATGATGGGGTGAAAGGGAAAACCCAGAAACAATTCAATGTGAAAATAATGGCCTAACAACTTGTACGAATATGTGAGACATTATTTGATTGTATTTGTTGACGAGGTCATTGTTTCTACCATAGAAAAATGCGAAATGTTGATTGCTCATATCTGTGTGTCATTGCTTGTTGGTCAATAGCTTGCTTATCTTGTTTTAGCCATTTTTTGTACGTTGAACCATGCATGAACTCCATATGCAAGTGATAATGGTATACATGCATTGCTACACAAATAAAAGAAGTACGATAGAAAAGTTGATGGTATTTCCTTTATCGAATAGTTTAGTTCTTATTTTGACATCAGTGCCCTTTTCCAGCAAAATTTATAAAAATTCAAACAATCAGACTTTGTGGTGTCTTTTATTTAGAGTTCATGGTATATACCGTATCAACATATGGATATGTACCGTACGTGAACATAATACAGTGTCTGCATTTATAAATATAAAGTCGTCGATTTATGAACCTGAAAGGCCGCAGTCACGACTCGTGTTGTCGACATGTTTTAAATTTCAATAAAACGATTTTATGACTATTGTAAGTGCATTTGTATTTTACCTTTGCATAAAGTTTTCACTTCAAAAGCTACCAATGCAAAGTATTTGTTTTGGCTAGAAAATGTAATTGGTTATGTAGCTTTAGACTACCAAAAATTACCCAATGTGGTAAAGAAGAAATCAGTTCCCCTATTATTAAATTAATTTAAGCCAGATCGACAGGTACAGATTCTTATCTACGCAAATAATATCAAAGCATTAAAAAGTTATTAATTGGTAACAATTGAAGAATTCAGTTATTTTGAACAGTAATTTATGTCATTAAAGATTGAAATAAAGCTCAGAAAAAGTTATTACCATTGTTTGGGATCAACTTTTGATGACTGTCGTGCATCACAAAAGATGACAAGAGCAAAGATAATTAAAACAAGCTGCAAAAATAAAAATTCAAGATTAACATTATTCTAACAAGAAAATTTTAAATTATTATTATAAGATTTTTCTTTACATGCTTATTGCTTATCTGAAAACTTTTTTTTATATAAATATTGTTATATATGTAATATGTAATATAGTATTGAAATAAAGTAAATTCACAATCTTTTAAGGATTTTTTTTTAACATTAAACATTGTGAACACATAGGTGACATGATACCCATAGTGTTGGCTTAATGTCACAATCTCTATGTATAGAAATGAATATAATGCTTTCTGTCACAATATTAAGTGTGTACTGGGCTTTCCTTAGTGTTATACCTGGAAGACTCCGCATCCAGCAATGGAACCTGCCACCAAAGCAACATTCCCCAGCAGCATATTATACACTTCATCAAAACAACTCTGTAATAAAGTGAAATATCTATTTTATAACTCTATAAGAAAACTCTTAAGTTTTTTTCCACTACTACGTGATGTTGTAAGGAGGCTGGGGAGGAAAGTCAACAAATTAACCGTCAAATACCTTTTTTGATATGATATCATGGGTTATCAACTATCATTTGATAAAGAAAACTTTCATACATTTTAGTTTCAAATTTTGATCAATTTTCTATAATTATCTTTATTTGGAGCTCTCCTTCTAAAGGAGAACAATATAGTCTAAAAATGCCCACCCACACGCCCAGTCCTTTTAATGTTACTTTTTTGTTCCATGTAGGCTTTTTAACGTTTAACTTCTAGTACACTTGTAAAACAAGCTATAATTTATACGTAATAGCTAACCTTGGTGTATATATCTACTGGTGTCGTTGCACACGTTGGTGTCGCTGAATTTGGGATATTTACGCAACACGTTATTGGAGCTTTTAGACCAGTTCCGTAATTTGTGTTCCATTGTGCTGCTCCAGTAAAATCATTGTAACTGTCCACTCCACAACATTCAAACTATGGGAATTATAAAAAATTGCTATTACTATTTACAGCTTTGTTTCTATCTGAATATCATAACTGTTATCTAGTCTGAAGTCAAAGCTTTTTATGTGGAAACTAGAAAGAAATTTCTATTTAGAATTATTTTAATTAAAGTTATTAGCTGTTAAATATACATAGAAGATAAAATTTGAAGTCTTTTTAAAGTTAAGTGTGAATTTATTTGAATAGAGTGGCTATGATCTTTATTTGGATTGCTCAATGTTCATGTAGAAGGAGATTTGCATGATACAGGGTATATTTACAATCTATGTTTCTATGTGTTGGCTTTACCTGTCTGTGTGCAAAATTCCAGCCCAGACTGACGATGTTTGTTCCATTAAACCCCATGTAATCGCTCTGAATAGACGTTTTCAACGGATTCCTTATTTCATCTTTTATCTGTAAAATATTTTGTAGAGGAATATATTTTTCTTTGTCAATTTTGAGCAAGAAAAGGTAAAAATATAAAATGACATAATGGAAATAATATTTTCAGGATAAAAAATTCTTTGTAAGACTTTTTCCATACCGTGTCTGGTGAACCGTAGAGGATTCCAACGAAAATGAGTTCTCCGACGAGAATAACGATGACGATGATTGCATAAGCAATCAACATAAATTTCACTTTACAGCAAGCTCCGCAACACCCAAGAATCGTAATGATCAAAAGAAAGAGGCCTAGACCAACGAAAAAGTACCCTAATCCACCAATCAAATCACTGAGGCTGAAGGAAGAAAAATCCACAGTCCCAAAGTTATTATTCTCCAATTGAGTTTGTAAGGTAGCCAAAGCAGTTTTATAGTAAGGTTCCAGTAAACTTTCTCCCACTAAACATATCAATCCGATAGCGAAAAACACCAGGCCAAGAACCTGCAAAGAGAACACTTATTTTATTATTTTTATTATTTTTTTTAAAAATAATTTTGAAAATTGAAATAACTATAATATCGAAAATCTTGTCAGTTCGTATTATTTTTTCAAATGATTTTCAAAATTAAAATAACTATCATATCGAAAATCTTTTCAGTTCGAAAAATTTAATCAGTCCCACGTCCATATGTACCAGATTTGTAGGTTGTATTTTATTACCTCCTTTGGAAGAAAAAAAAACCCAACTGTGTTCAAAATTATAGACTATTCCATATTTTACAAAAAAACTAATTACTAATTGAATTACTGGAATTATGTATGATATCCGACATATTGTCGTTCATAAATTGTATCTAAATTAATTGGAAAATTGTACTGCTTGAAAAAAAATCATTTACTTTAATAAATTATGATTTGCTTTCGTCAAGTTTACCTTTCGGTAAAATTTAATCCAAAAATAGGATTTAAAAAAAGTTTTATCAATAAGATAATATAATATGAGGAATAGTCAAAATAATTTAAGGTTATGAGTTTGAAAAAAGTTTTAGTCGAATGCTCACTCCCACATGGAACCCGAACGCCCCTCTGATGTTTTGAAGGTCCGTTTTTGCGCTGTTCCAATTTTGTAGTATTTAATTGGCTTTATAGCTTGAATACTGTTCGATATATCCATATAATTATATTTCATTCGAAAACATATAATTTATCTCTTTTTTAATTAAATTTATTACTGTACTTTATATTTTACAAAAGTATCATTTTTTTCTTTCATTCTATGTTCGTATTTCTAACAAGGAAGCTCAAGACTGACATTTATCATTGCTGGTGTGTTGCAAAGTAGATTGCGTCAAAGATTATCATTCAATTCATCTTCCTCATTTCACAATGCTAAATGTACTTCATAGAAGTACTATATAGGACTACAGACTTACTATTGGGTAATGGGATTTGTCAATCCACTTACAAGTAGATTCACCATAAGCATGATAAAGCACATACTTAGTATCAGGGAGTCAAGTGGGACCGCTCTCACTTATTTCAAAACATAACATTTTAATGGTGAAAATGTCCATTAAAAGGTTTTCCCTTATTTTGTCACAAAATGACTAAATATGTGCTACTATGTTTTGCAAATAATCGGCACTCGGGGCCATTGAGCAGGGAGGGATCTTTTTCGTGCCAGCACCTACTGCAACCCCTACCCCAACTATATTAATAAACGTCCAAATATGTATTTTTCAATTTTTGATATTTTTTGTTACTCTTCTTTTTTTCTTGTTTCTTAGCTAAGAAAAAAATTTGGCACTCCTTTTCAAATACGATACTACGTCTCTTTGTAGAAAAATAGTGTACTTGATCGAAACATTGAAAAAAACTTTTTTAATTTAAAAGTTTACAATGATTGTACATAAATAATAAAATGTACTCACCAGAAATATTATGTTTATAACAACAATAAGAACACGTCCCAGCACTACCAGGCAACTCATTTTTTACGATCTGTTCTCTTGTCAGCCTGAAAAGAAACTGAGTGAAGTACCAAGGAAACAGAACGCAGCTCCTCCTTCTATTCATGTTCCGAATGAGGAACTAAAGATAATAGTAAGTATAATCTCTACATAACACATTTAATTCTGAATTTATTTCAGAATACTATAGATTTATCATACTTTAATCCGCTAACTATTTATGGGAGTTGTGGGGACAATGTTTAGTCAAGCTTTAAATTAAACAACTTGTTGATTGAATATTGAAACACTATATCCGTTTTATCCCAGTAAGTTAGGTGCTTCAGCTAGTGTCCATATTGATAAAGTATATTGCAATGTGTGGATGCCCTCAAATACGAGGGCAATGATCGGTGGTTTTTCGTTCTTTCTTTAAAAAGGCAAGGCCATTGATGAAAAATCAGATTACGTGTATATTATTTGTATCGAAAATATTTGAAGACAGGTATTTGAAAATTTTAAAAATGCAAAATTGTTTTTGTGAATATAGAGGTTTGCTGGAGAGCAATTTGTTGGCATATACATCTCATGGTTTACTTTTGATTAACCATACACAGTTTATTTATTTTCGATGAAAGGTGTATGGCTTTTCCAAAACGCACTGAATTTAATAAATTATTGCGCATTTTAGTTGTTTAAACTTAAATATAAAATATTTTCAATGATTTTTTTTGCAGGAAAATAGGCTGTGTCAAGTCACCTCCTTTTAAATCCCAATACAGTTTTCTTTGTTCAACGTTTCTCTTCGATATCGTGTCATGCACACCTCTGTTCAAACACGAAGATCCCAATGATTACTGAGTATACATGTAACAGAGTCCTAAATAAATTTTCCATAATTGCCATCACTAAAGGTAAATTCTGTTTTTTTTTTCTATGGAACATAAAGTATCAAACTTCATGTTTTAAAGAATATATTGAAATTAAAACTAGAGAAACAATGACAATATACCGTATAAAAAAAATAAATGCATGCTCTAAAGAGAATTAATTCTTATATTAGATGACATGACTATGTACATTGACAATTTTTTCAATGCAAGTTTTGTGGCAAATTAATTTTTAAAAAAATAATGCATAGTTTTACAACATAGTAACCAAAGCAGGAAGCTATAGTTCATGATATCAAATTTGACGTAATTTTTAAACAAGTTTTAATTTTTATAAACACTTGAGACTGTTGACCGATAAAGAATAAATTTTATTGTAAAAAGGTTATTGTTACGCGTATCAGCTGAACTCTGTCGTTCATACTCTAGAAACAATGGAAAGAGTTGAAAATTATAAAGACTCTACTTGTAATTAATAAATATACTCTGAAGTTCTATTTTCTATGGCACGCCAAATTCACAAAAATGAGCTAAGCATAGTTTTACAGTCGATAAACTAGGTTTATCGGTTGTAAACTATAGTTTACGGACTGTAAACTATAGTTAACAACGTTAATCTATATTTTACATCTGTAAACCATAGTTACTGCGATAATCTATGTTTCAGAACCGTAAACTATACTGAACACTGTTCAAAAACAATCATTTGCGATTGCAAAACATAGATTATCTGATAAATACAGTTTCACGATTTGTAAACTATGGTTTACAAGTCTTAACTATAGTTAACGATCTGATAAATATAGTTTCGTGATTTTTGAAACTATAATTAACAACTCTTAACTATAGTTCACGATAGGAAATTGTAGTTTACAGACGTGAATCTATGTTTATCAACAAAATCTATTGTTAACGTTTTATTACAGACAGATAGACTTAGCTTAGGATTCGTAAACTATAGTTAACAAGCGTTAAATATAGTTTTACAGATGAAAACTATAGTTAACGAATTGTTAACTATAGTTTACAGTTGCTAAGCCTAGTTTATCAACTGTGAAACTTTGTTTAGCTCATTTTTGTGAATTTGGCGTGCCATAATTTTCGGACTCTAGGTTAAAAGAAGTTTTCATGATTTATGAAACAGTTAAATGGACCCATTTTTTCAGTTTACAGCAGTTTTGAAAACAAAGAGGGCTACTTTAAACAGTAAAATGCATTTGCTTCTCCATATATCATCTTAATAACTTAAAAAAAGCACCTATATACATGCTTTATAGCTTTAAAAACAACATTCATAAATGATTTTATAGCTTTATAAAAATATTTTACATGACTTTATAGCTTTATTAACGTTCAGTAATTCAAGTGCTAAAAAATTGATGAACGAAATCCGATTAAAAAAAACTTTTCGTTCTGAAGAACTGAAATATTGATTTCATGAAAACTTTACACATGTATTGTTCGTTTTGTATCATAGCTTATAACTATTCCCCAAGAATTATGAAGTCTAACCTTTTTAAATGATGTTCCTGTTAATGAAAACAAGAGTATTTAAACTTTGGCTGAAATATTACGCGTTCAAGTTAATAATTATTATGCTTCTTTAATAGCGAGCAAATTATTTACAAGGACTAGCAACTCTCTAAAACACGAGTATCATTGAAAAGTTTCATATCAATATGGAATCATTTCAATTGGGATTTTTTTAAGCACAGTTTGTGTTTACATGCTTGTTCTCCTTGGCAAGAATTATGTGTTATATTATGCCATGAAACCACTAGTTGTACAGAATTTGTATATTTCCAGTATTTGCCTCGATAAGGTAAACATTTTACTACCTTTAAAAATCGCGTAATAATATAGAAAGATTAGCCAAAAATGGACAATCAAAAAAGAAATGATGAATGTTTAACGATTTACTATAACTCTCAAGACCTGAGCAAATACATTGAGACTCGCCTCCGAGGACCCCGTCCTGAAGAATATTCTCGGGTTTGATTTACGATTTTTGAAGGCCACTTTAAGGACCTTTTCATTATTTGTACAGCAGTAAAGTGTAGGATCAAGAAAGAAATCAACCATTTTTTGCACGACCAGGGAATAAATCGACAGCTCGTTGAAATTGAGTTTGTGATGAAAAGATCTAGCAATTTCGTACTCATATGTAAATAGCTAGGTAAGTTAAGGGAGAATGTTTAACTGAAATCCGTGACTTCTTCAAAAGAAATATCCAACTGTAGGGACCTCAATTAATGAAGATATATCTATTCATTTCTATACAATTAAGAGCTGTTTAAATGTCCTGGACCTGGTTTTTATACGAATAACATGCCAAAAAGGTATAGCTTGATTTCAAATGTTGTATGATAAGACTCGACTAAAATAACACAATTTCAATTTTTTCACGTTAACGTCACAATGAGAAATTCTAAGTATAAATTTCCTTTTAAATAATTATATCTATGATCAATACAGAAGGAGAAAATTTCAATAAAAGTCATGGTCACATAAGTTTGCATATTGACTTTTCAGACAAAATAGCGTAAAAACTAAGAGTATAAAATTGATTCAAGAAAGTTTTGAAATTTCAAAGAATTTATCTTATACCTTCAAAAAAAGGTAAACCAAGCATAGTCTGATGATTAATTTGCACATATGGAGCATTTGAAAATGTAGATACTAAGTTAATGAACATCCTTGTCAACTGTGGTCACATTACGTTAATCTTCCAGTTTTACTTTGGCCCTGGGTTAGTAAAAAAAACAAGAAACGCAACGGAACATAAGCTTAGAAGATGAGAATGGTGTACACATAAATTTGAGCATATTTACTGGCAATGCTGTTCAAATATGTCATGTAAATACATGAATAATTAACCAAAACACCTTACTGATGTTGAATGAGACTCGTGAGTAATTAAGATCACAATGAGCCTATTTTGTTGCAATGAATTGAGGGTTGTTAACCAACAGAAATTATAATTTTGTGTTTCTTTCCATTATGCTTTTATGCTTAAGAGAGGAATTACACCCTAATAGAAAACATTTTGCAATTTTGTTGGCATTCCCGGGTTTTCTTTCAATGGAATATACAGAACCGTATATACATTCACTCAAAAAGAATAATTCAAATTTTTTTGGACACAGGATGAAACGGTATATAATGATATAATTACATGTATTATTACAGGTTTCAATTTACCATTCTCGACAATAAAATTGATAGAAATGAGGCACGAGTTGAGAACGGTTATATATACATGCTTGGATTGGGGAAGAAAAGAAAAACTAGAGATCGATTATGGACTTTACACGATATTCAATCACTACTAGAAAGGGATGTTCATTGTTCAGTTACAAATCAGGTTCAACATACTGTTTCAAATGAATAATTTCAGAAGAAGACAAAATTGATTTATTGTGAACAGTCTAAACTCTAAAAACGCACTATAAAGATTAACATAGAGTATTTAGAATAAATCTCTAACGTACACGTATAAAATTCAATTAAAAAGGAGATATAGGGAGGATATTCAATGCTTTGTTAATTGATTTCTTTCACGAGTGTGACATGGTATCACATTGAAATATTTTGCAAATTTCAATCAATATTCAGAAGGCAATTCATCAGTTTCTCAAAAATCGTTCCACCATATCTAATCAAACAGAGCACCAAATATATGTATCAATCCGTATGACAAGGGCTGATGTGAAGTTCTTTACTTATGAAAACATTAGTGACAAGAAATGTAAAAATATTTTGATAATTCTTATTTTAGTTTCAGCAATAAGTATGTTTATTGATGTATATAAACAATCTTTTTTAGAACAGGTCATAAAAAAACCCGAAAATATCAGGAGGTTATTATCAGTAATTGAATCTTGGCCTCAGTTTAATTCTTACATTACTAAGCAGATATATGCATGTTACATAATGCATCCTTTTCCCAATATATTCTTTTTTCATCTCCCCCTTTTTTCAAACTTCGACCCTCTAGCCCTCGTCCTTTGGACTGATTATATTTATTGGTTCTCGGGTTGATATGGTGGAGAGAAAGAGAAAGTGGTGTATTGTTCTATGATTATTGGCATTACGGCGTCTTTATTACTTTCACCTTTCATATTCGTGTCTTGTGGGAAAAGAAAAATTCTTCAGCATCTGTCCCGCAGAAAAATGTAACAATGTAAAAATCAATTTACTCTTCTCGAATCGATTTCCATACATGGCGTCCAGAAAATTGGAGTT